CAGCCGCTTCACGGTCAATCTCTTGTTGAGGCTTCCACAAAGGCTTTCGGGCAGCAGCCTTCGGAGAGCGCCAGTCCACTGCGGTGGGGTCAAAACGCTCCAAACAGCGAGTCTTCTCAGTGTCGGCAGAGGTGGTGAGGCGAAGGCTGCGAATGGCTGCAGCAGCGATCTGTTTCCCCATGGCTGCCTCCTTGTTTCCACATAAGAGAGTCAAAATGCTGCCTCCCTCACCGGCACGTGCTGTGCGGCCCACTCGCCGAATGTACTCCCTCGCATCGCGCGGCCAATCCATCAGCACCACCCACTTCACAGTATGGCTGTTGAAGTCCATGCCGCGAGAAAGTCGGTCTGTGCAAATCATGATGCGCCGCTTGAAGAAATCTACGGAAGGGACCTTCTCTGTACTGAACAAGGCCATGTTCGCCTCGTACTCCTTCTTGTCCCGAAGGCCATGCAACACGAGCAATTTCCATAGCTTGCTGCCACTCCGCGGGTCATCCGGATTGACCTCCTCTAGTGCTTGGTGCACACGGCTGCAGTTCTCAATGGTGTTGCAAAAAACAATCACTCGATTGTCCTCTTCGTCTCTCATGACACCTCGTTTCAAATGCCAGACCAAGGCTTGAATCTTGTGCTTCATCACCAGGCTCAAACGCTTCTCGGGCTCCACCTCATAGAGGTTCAAGGGGGTGCAATCAACGAGAACATGCTCACAATTCACAGGGACCCGGTGCAAACCAGGACCTTTGGTCCAAAGGATCCTCCGAGTTCGGTGCGCAAGGTCTTGTGCTTCAACCTGCAATTGCGCTTCTAAGGCTTGGATCTCCATCTGTGCCACCTCCGAGACCGTGGCAGTTACAAAGACCCACTGTAGCTGGGCTCGGAGTTGAGCTTTCAGCTCCAGGATCTTCAAGTTCCCTTCCTCCACCAAAGCATCGACCTCATCGATCACAACTGCTTTGCAGCTTTGCCAGGTGTCTTTTGGTACTACGTAGTCCTCCTCCATGAAGAACTTCAAACGACCCGGCGTTGCCACCAGCACTTCAGTACCATTCTGCAGCTGCCTCCGTTGTCTCCGAGCATTCTCGCCTCCTCCCCCGACCACGCTGGTCACCTGGAAGCCTCGTTCGCTTCGTGAGGAGGCCACCTGTGCGACCTCGGCGATCTGGTGCACCAGGTCCGAGGTGGGCGCCACGATGATGACCTTGAGACGTCGATCTGCGGGATCGGCCGAGAGGACATAGCGCTGGAGCAGTGGAAGCAAATAGGCTAAGGTCTTACCTGAACCTGACTGATCAGCCACTACACAGCATTCACCCTTGGCGATCTCCTGAAAGCTCAAGAATTGGATCCTGGAAGGCCGCGGCAACTGCATGCTCTTGGCGAGTTCAGCAACCTCTTCGGTAATTTCGGCAACCTCATTCCATTGCTTCTGGGAGAAGAAGTGCTCTGGTGCTTGGCCCTTCTTTTGCTCCTGTGCATCCCAATCATAGGCCTTCCGGAAGTGTGGAAACAGCGTCGGCCTCTCCTCCGCAGGCAGGCTTTTCCAAAGCTTTCGCTCGATGCGCCCGAGTTCAGATGGATGGCTCACCTGGTATCGACTTCTTGCAGCTGAAATATTGGACTGCTCCAGTACCTCCACCTTTCCTTGGTCCAATGCATCTGCAAAGTCTTGGATGGGCTTCCGGTCTAAGGTTTTGAGCTCACTCTCCATGCCAACCAAAGGAACTTGACCACGTGACATCATCTTCTTGTACCAGGGCGCGTTCCACGGCTCCTTTAAGCCATCTTCCCGCCAGCCCCAACCATCTGGCACCTCCACCGAGTCTCTCTGCCGCTCCTGCTCCTCAGGACGGTCTGGTCGATATGACTCTCGTCTTCGTCCTCGAAACCGCTGCTCGTCGGGTCGATATGATCCTCTAAACCGCTCCTGCTCGTCAGGACGGTCAGATCGATATGGTGACTCTCGTCTT